GTGTGTGTGTGTGTGTGTGTGTGTGTGTGGGTATGTATATATATGTATGTATATATATATGTATATATATATACATATATATATATGTGTGTGTGTGTGTGATGATAAATACAAGCAAAAATGTGTTCTTTTTTGGAGGCTATGAAAAATGTGTTTTGTTTTTTGTTTGTTTGGTTTTAAAAAACCAATAGAAAAACAAAAACAAAAACATGCACGTTACTACTAATAAACGATACTGAGGTGCTACTATTACGTGATGTGATTACTACTATTGAGTGATACTGAGGTGCTACTATTACGTGATGTGATTACTACTATTGAGTGATACTGAGGTGCTACTATTACGTGATGTGGTTACTGCATGCGTAGATTGGCAGGAAACCAACAGCACCGCTAACGTATCAGAGAGCAATGTCTCTGACTATGCTCGGCCTGCAGGAAAATGCCCAGACCATCGAGGCCGTCCAGAAATTCAAACTACAGGTATGCGTGTGTCTGTCTCTGTCTCTGTCTCTGTGTGTGTGTATGTGTGTATGCGTGTGTCTGTGTCTGTCTCTGTGTGCGTGTGTGTGTGTGTGTGTTGCATGTGTGTGTCTGTCTCTGTCTCTGTCTCTCTGTGTGTGTGTGTGTGTGTGTGTGTGTGTGTAAGCGTGTGTCTGTCTCTGTGTGAGTGTGTGTGTGTGTGTTTGTATGTCTGTGTCTGTGTCTGTGTCTGTGTCTGTGTCGATGTATGTATGTATGTATATGCGTATGTGTGTGTATGGGCATGTATGAGCTTGTGTATGTTCATATGTATGTGTCCTTGTCTGTGTCTATGCCTGCGTCTGTGTCTGTGTGTTTGTGTGTATATGTCTGTGTCTGTGTCTGTGTGTTTGTGTGTATATGTCTGTGTCTGTGTCTGTGTGTCTGTGCCTTATTTATGTCTGCATTTCCAGATACATGTGTATTCTTTTGCTTTTGATTTATTATTAAGTGCACATCTACGTATCATGCATAGAGCGGACGACCGTCTAAACATATCATGGCCGCACCCTCCCAGGTGCCCCCCCCCCTCCGTTTCATCATAGTGAATAGGTTACCATGGAAACTTATAGATCCTGATCAGTATAACAACACACACACAAGCGCAATGTCTCATGTACGTGTCATCAAAAGTATATGAACCCAACCCACACTCGCGTGGAATAAGTAAGAAATGATAGTTATATGTATCACACCAGATAAAACATAGCTTGGACCAGCCCATGCAGGCTACAAACAGCGGTGTGGTGAAATAGTGTCAAAAATCGAAGTGCCCGTACGCGTCACAGCGACAAATATAAAATTCACATATATATATATATTCTTCCAGAAAATCTTATTTTCTAACTTTCCACACAGATCAACCGCCTGTATCAGCTACCTCGGTTGCGAGAGCCTGTGTGGCTGACAATGGCCACGCATCCTGAGTGCCGCTCTCAGTTAGGCCCAGCCTTTCTGAATGAACTGTGCACGTTATATGGACAACACAGGCGACAGGCCAATACACGCAATTCGTTTGCCAGCGCTGCAATTACAGCACTCTTGGCCCACCACCTGGCATGGGTACCTACATTAGTACCAACGGATACACATGACACGCAGATGGACCATCTCAACAAGGCCACCCTGGCTGCGGGTATGCTTGCTTCGAAAGGAGAGATATATGTGTGTGTGTGTGTGTGTGTGTGTGTGTGTGTGCATTTGTTAGTACATATGTTTAAACGTCTATGTATAT